TTCCCGTATCTGCGGGTAACAAGTATGGCCCCGGGAAAGTATTTACGGGTAAATTATTATCTCGGGAATCACGGAGTCTAAAAGGCTGGAATTTTAGGGTAATGACCCCCACTGTCCACGCTCAACCTTGCCCATTCAAAATTAGCCTTCCAGTACTCGCGGGTTAACACGTACGGCCCTGTGTTTTTTACAGGTAAATTATTATCTCGGGAACCACAGGGTCCAGAAAGCTGAAATTCTAGGGCAATGACCCCCTGCCCACGCTCAACCTTGCCTATTCGAATTCAGCGCTCCCGCACTCCCGGCTGTCACTTATGGGCTAGTGAAAGCTTTTGCGGGTAAACTGTCAACTCGGGAATCACGGAAAGATATTCACCGTTCAAGGTTTCGAATTCAGCTTTCAGGCGCTGGTACGTGAAATTTTTAACTGTCTTCCAATGTTTGAACTAATTTTGCATAGACTAAAATAGGAAGCAGTGAAAATCATTAATTGATAATCGTTCGATGGGCTGAATTGCACAAAACGCATGATCGCACCGGCTAGTCTAGTGCGCGTTCCTATTTATTGATTTTGCCTTGATCCGTGCCCCCGGAGCTCCGTCGAGGCACTCACCCACCACTACCTCCCTTTCCCCTCTCCCCGCAATCACGCCAGCCTTCTCGTCTACCCCCAGCACCCTTAATCATACGTCCCAGCTGCCGTTCACTGGGTAGCACTACCTAGCGCTCCTGGCAAATTGCTAAGCGGCATCGGTGAGCGACGCTGGAAAAAAGCTTTAGCAGAGAGGTTAGGGTAACTGCCGAGCTGTGTTTTAGGAATTACCATTTTTATGCGCTTTTACTCACTGTAGCAGCAGAGAAGTCGTCCGTGTGTGTTGTGCGTGTGTTCGGAAGCAAGTGAATTTGGTTACCCACTTTCAATTCAGCAAACAGGAAAGCTGGGAAGCTGAAATTTTGGGATCATATTCCCACCCCAAGTGTCATCCTTCCATTTTAAAATCTCCGCCTATACTCACCAAGATCTCGCTTATAAACTCCCAAAAAAAATGTAGACTTCTTTGGTGGGAAACGATTTTGTGAACCAAAAGGCTGAAACTTTGCAAGGATATTCTATATTATTCATGTGTGGTCTTTGCTTGGGGCTAAATTTCCCTGCACGTAGTCATGGCAAAATACTTAATCTTACTGCAAACTCAAAAATGAGTGCATTTTGCAGGTTTCATAATCTTCTTCCGACTTCCTTTGCATTTTTTTTGATGAACCAGCATTTACCGGAAAAACGACCAAGCTTCATGCAAAAGACTGACAATCATGCACACTGGAGGTTCGCGCAGCCCTACAGTGCAAGACCTCCGTCCCAGCCGACACTTTCCCTCCTGCATGCGGAAAAAGGCTCAAACACAAC